TTGTTGATTATGCTTATTTCATTATATGCCAATATTTTGCCCTTTCTCTGTCACTGGAAAACTATGTGTTCTTTTGGTAATTAGTAAGGTATTGTTAACAGAAAGTGTACCATGAACTGGCATACAGCACACCTAAAAATACCCTCTAGCAGTAAAAGGTATTTTCTTTTTTGTTTGTATACCTTTCATTTTGCATTTCATTTCTAGTAATTCCAAAAATTTATAATTGAAGAAACAAGGCTTAAAGAGTCTACATAGACATCACAGTTTGAACTTTTCATATCAGATCTTAATAAATAAGATATTTGAATACGAAAGTAATGTTGAAAAATACGTGACCTACTTCAAATAGCAGCTTTGCTAATGTCATGTAAAGGAACATTTCTGCAGCAGAATAAATTTTGACTGTGTCTAGGAATGCAACATAGCCAGGAATTTTAGACCAGACCTCTGAACCAAGTTTCTAATACTTTCTAACAGCCACAGTAATATGCTGAATGTCTTGATTCTCTCAAAAGAGAAAGATAAAAGTGCAAGCTTATCTTTAAGTGTAGGGCTGTTTTGTGCTTCAGAAAAATTGGGCTTGTGAGACAAAACAAGTTGATCAGATACTTACTTTAAAGAAAGATCGGAAGATGCTTCAGAAACCTAAGGTGTGACTCAAATATTACTTTTTCAGTGTAGAAGAGAAAAAATTATAGTCCACACATTAAAGACTGAGTTCTTGAATTGTACATTCTGGGTTGTTCTAAGGAACAACATGGCCTTCTTAGATGAATGAAATAACATTACTCATAGTCAGAAAACAAGACATGTAAAAAGAATAGGAGCTACATTAAGGTCCTACAGTGGAGACAGATTTTGTAACTAAGAGATAAACTCAGTAAATACCTTTAGGTACCACAACAAGATGAGAGAAAAACTGTATGCTCTTTTACAACGAACGGTACATGGAATTTTTTGAAAATTTAAAGATTTTCATGGACTATTGCCATGATATGTCAGACAACTGCTGACATTTTTGCTGCATACATGCATCTGAGTACAGATCTATTTTCCGATCTGAAACAGAACAAGCATATCTGCAGAACTGTCTTTTTAATTTCACAGCCCAATTATACTCAGTACGAGAAGACATAATGAAGTTAATATTGGTTAGAGAAAGATCCATTATTCTGACTGATCAAGCAGAAATGAAAAATAAAATAATCCAGAGTGACAATTTCAGCTGCAAGTGTTGATTGTGCCAAGCTGACGTTACCAAGATGGCCACAATTTTGCCGCCTTCAATCTTCAAGATTTACAGTTTCAAAAGAACTTCAGGGATGTATATAACAAGGTACAGAGCTATGATATTAGAGAGGCATCTCCCTGAAAGCCCAGAGTGCCCTCTCCTGGAGTGAATGGTCTTGCACACCCAGTGGTCTTTGTTCACGGTCAAAGTTATATGAGGAACACCTCACAAACGAAACCATTGCGTGATTATCAGGTCTTTCATTTTTCATTTGGGTCATCATACAAAGCCCCTACTAAACATGTATTCAGATGATCAAGAAAATGACTAGCATCTTGCCATGACAGAGTTACATACAGTAATGACTTCCTCGTGCAATGGAGTGGACTCACTGTTAGTATAGAAAGTTTAATGGTAGTAGCTGACGTTATTTGGATCCACTGACCTCCAACGTGAGGTGAAATGCCATGCTATCGAAGTATGGTCATTCACTCTGAATTTGAGAACACTTCTGTGAAGTCAATGTTCTTGCCACAAATAAAGCTGTGAAAATAGGCTGCACCAAAGATGCGTTCACAGTCTACCCTATGTGTACTGGAGTGAGAGAAGAGTTTCCATCAACTTGTTGCAGGTTCTTCTACCGGTTAAAGTTCAAAACAAATAACAGAATCTTTATCCTTACATTTTAGTTGCAGGCAACCTGATTTTAAGGTATCTTCTGCCATCCATGCAGGCAACATACATGGTTTTGTTTATAGTACAAGGCCACCTGATCCCAAAGCTGAAGCACATACTTACCATTACACGTGGACTGTTCTCCAGCTAATTAATCAGAAAATGTTGTCATATGCTGTCAGTCAGATAATATAGTGCTGTGGTAGAGTTCAGTGGTTTTCTACTTGATAGAAATACACTTCTTGAAAATCAGGATCCCTGTTTCAAATCAGGGGATGTAGGGAATTAGCAAACACCAAGAGTAAAAACTGCGATCCCCAAATACAATAAGGAATTTTCTCTAATCCACCAAAAGTTACAAGAGATTGATTCTTCTTTGGTAGCAGACTATTGACGTAGAGGTAAAATGGTGAAGATTTTAGAATTAGAATTATTTTGTTGTATTCATCTTCCACTCTGATCTGAATGATAATGAATTATTGCAAGTTTCCTGAAGAAAACATAAAAGCACTGAAATTGAGTAGGGAAATACTAATGCCTTATTTAGATGGCAGTTCCTGATTTAGAAATCCTTTAAAAAGCATTTTGATTGTTTCAAAGAAGGCAACAGAAAACTACTAGCTGCAGTTACTATGAAAATGGGTTCCTTCTGTCTTCTCTTTCTTTCTGGTCAGCCAGAAGACCCTTGACCTCAATAAGCATGACAAAATAATTTGTTGCTTTTTGCTGATGATGCTTTTTTTAAAAAAAAGACACATAAATGCCCAAGAATATAAGATAGAAGGAAACACTGAAATGCACAGAAATCCTCAATTATCATTGAACTAAACATTCTTTTAAGGTATAGATCTTCCATGAATTTTCAGAACAAGTTGGCAATTCAGAGGATTATAATCAGGACATATGACGAATTGTAATTGTCACTATAGATCTGGAAAAGGAACAAGGAACTTTTCAGTGAATCAACAGCTACCTAAAGTAGAGAAAAAGCCATAGCAGAACACTGCTTCTGCTACTCCTTGCTGACCATTTGTATTCAAGGTTCTGCTTTTAACAATCTAGGTAAGACACAAGCCTCAGAGACTTCCAATAGAGACAATTCTGATCTGTTCTTTCTGGATTTTGCTGCTCTCTTTACACATTAGTACTCCCTGTCTCTTGTAGAATTACAGTGCATCATCTATCATTAAGGAGTTGAAAGGATCTTAACGAATAAAATAAAATGTCGTTTTTTTCATTCAGACTAAGATTGTGTCTAATCTGTGATCCTATATATTACTTAAATAATTCTAGGACAGAAACCATGGGGGGGGGGTTTGCACTTTTACTATAATTATTTCATTGACTGATGATAAATTAATGATTTACTTATGGTAAACTGTACTCTTGAAAAACCTGTAGAAGGTGCCCAGAACTTCAGAACCAGTCATTTTGCCTTTGTTATTTTTTCTTAGCTTTCTAGGCAGAGACAAGAGGAAATTCAGCTTCCACTCAATCCATAAATCAAATCATCCACAAATTAGAAATGTACAGTTCTAATAAGCATGAGATTATAGTTCCAGTTTCAGACTAAATGAAATGCAATGATTAAAAGTTACTGAGTGCAGTCCATTGTAAATTTAACCAAAGAAGATAAAAGTAAAGGAAATCCACATATTATGAAGAACTTAACCAGAACTGTGCAACAGCAGAAATCTGGAGAAGTTCCTTATCTAGCTCCAGTGAATGTTCTTTCTGTTTTCTTATTTTTGCTTTTAAACATCAAGACATATTTAGTACCATTAAACTACCCGGAATAAAATTGTAATCACTGAAGAGAATTTACAATAGAAGAAACAAGAACAACAAAAACCACCCAAAAGGCTAAAGAATCAAATGACCCCAGACCTAGGAATAAAAGATGCCATTCAAATTAATTATTTCAGTTAGGCTTGAAAAGATTTGCTATATCCATGAATATAAGCACATACTTTTAGTTTCAAAGATAATGACACAGCCAGTCCAAGAAAAACAATATGAATAATTTCTGATAATTTTAACTTCCTTCATTATAACAGATAAGATTTCTCACTCTTAACTTATTTCATGACAGTTCTTTAACAATATAGTTTTGCTTTGATCTAACTATGAAATTAATTTTTTTTTTATCATTTAAAAGCAACAGTTTTCAGAATTTTCAAACCCTACCACCCCAAAATATAGTGGATTCATCTCATTTGAAGACCTTGGCTACAGAAGCCAACTGACAAGTTTCTACTGAATTTCAATATTTGCATTATTTTTTATAGTAATCTACTTCTATTTATACCTTAAATACAGTATCCATTTAAAAGAAACAACTCCATCTGCAGATCACATAAAATAGCTATCAAAGACATTTGTTTCAATATATCAGCTTTCCCAAATACTATACTATTCTGCTACAAGTTTAGCCTAGATAAAGCAACTCGCATATGAAATTTGAAAGGACAGAAGTAACTAAATGCATGGTTTACTGACAGTTTCTTGGTCCTGAAGTTTTGATCTATGAAGAAGAAAATATTTTAATCTTTCTTAAACCATTTTCATTATGTAAACCTCTATATACAGATAAAAGCTTCACAGTTACAAACACACTATCACTCTAAAGTTTTGCTTTAATGAATCCCATTACTACTGCAGAAACCATGTCAGGTTACTTAGAAATCTCCCCATTCTCATCGTTACTGATGGTTACATAATCATTTCTAATTACATTTTTCCATTTAAAAAATCAGTAGAGTACACTGACCACACAATGATGAAAGTAGAAGTGTACCTGAATCATCATAATTTCAAAAACTACAATACCTAAATTCTAGGCATTTCTGTAAAACAAAGTTTGGTTTATTCAAAATAGAACATTCATGAAAAAGTATATTTTAATAATATTGGTCATGAAATATAAGAACCCTTTGTTGAGCAGCAGAAAAAAAAATCAGGAATGATTTTGTGTATTTATGATAAATGTATTTCACTACCAAAGACAACAGCAATTCCAGCTTAAACCCACAGACCTATAGTTTTATAAAGCTTTGTTGATAGGCAAAGTAAGCTTTTTTTTTTTCTATACCTGGAAGTTCTCTCTCTTCAACACTGTATTCCAGAGATCCAAAGGAATAATTAGCTGGACTGATTGCAGGAGTAGAAACAAAACTTGTACAGCCAATGGTTGAGTTGATGTCAAAATAATTGTGGCTGTGTTTCATTCGGTGAAATTCCAGAGAAGATACTATTGAAGTGCGCTGCTTGGGCTACAAGAAAAATAAGTTTGGAGTGAAAAATACAGACTTTTTGTATTGTTTTCATTACTTGACATTTAATAAATTTACCTACAGTTTCTCTCTTTTTACTGTTTTTATTTGGCTCAAAGGTTGTGCTGGTAAAAATTATTTCATATGACAAGCTGTGGTGTGTAGAGATAATTTCCTTCCAAAATTTGGATTAATCTTCATTAGAAAAAATGCATGTCTTCATTCTAATCAATTTAATTCAAAATAAAATAGGGCTTCACAGCCTTGCATATAATAATTGCAATCATCTTTTGATAAGAAAGGGAGCTCTTCACCAGCTGCATTGCTGGGTACATCTTGCAAAACAATTAGACCGCTGATGCCTGTATAATGAAATTTACAAAATAATACCAAGCACTCATCACTCGAAAGCAACCCTCTGCTGTTTATTCAATTTATGAAGGGCTGCTTTAAATATTCAAAGACTGAAATGTCTAAAAGCTTAGGGAAAAACTGTCAGCTTAAAAAAACATACATGAAAATCAAACTATCTTCATGAGTTTTCAAGGAATAGTGAAAAACTCGATACTGGTTTGTACCAAACATTTACTTTTGAAGTGAAACTCTTCATTGTCTCCACTTCATGGCTGTGCTTTGGATTGCAGAGCAGCTTCAGAGCACAAGAAACTCATTCCTTTTGGGTGGATCTACACCATAAGGTACGTTACAGGATTGTACAAAACGTGCTCCAACTCCTTATGGCCTTTTGACCATGGGACCACGCTAAAGCTAGCCCAAATAAAAAACAATGAAATCTATGTAGTGTGATCGTCAAGGCAGCAACGACTTTTTCACTACACGCATCTGTTCCCATTGCACTGCACTACTTATCAACGCAGACATAACCTTAGTGCTCCATGTCATGGACTATAAGCCACAGACCACTGATGGTTTGCATTGTCGTGCTAAATAGTCTGCTGCAGCACTCATCTGGCTCCGTACTCAAAATATCCCAACGCCACAATGCTCCTTGCTGCTTCAAGACCAATGACCTGAAACATTAAAACCCTCCTCCAAAATAGAGGAGGCCCTGCATTCAGGTGTATAGCTGTCTGTATATTTATTTCACAACAGTGAAAAACATCTCAGGAGCTGCTGCCTTAGATAACTAAAGCTGGGAAAAGTAAATAGAGAAAAAGAGTAAAGGGTGCTTTAACTCTTCTTGGTTTAGCATGTCAGGCTTAACAGGTCAGAATACTTGTAAAGGTCAGGAGTTTGCTACTTATTAGTGTCAAGGCCAAATTATTGCTCTGGGAGCAATAATACCTTCCTCAGACCATGAAGCTATTCACCATCCCTAACTTGGAACTATGTGTTTAAATACAATCTATCCCAGCGGAGTAACTTCAGTTTTGTTTGTGGACTATTTAATTTTTAGATTATGAGCCCTGGAATGTTTGTGTTACAAATACAGAACTAGACAGGTTTCAGTAAAAATTCACTCTTTTTATCAGAATGACAGGGTTTGCATAATGTTGATTGTTAAAGTTGTGTTGGGCACCATGTGAATTAACTGTGTCCTGTTAAAACTGAGAAAAATTGCAAAGGGTAAATTTGGGCATTCATCTGGAAATCATCTATGGTCTATTGAGGGGATTTACTTTCTTTAATAATTAAAAACAGCGTCTGCTTTGAAAGGCTGATTCCTAGGGCTAGTAATTTCATGGAAGAGTTCAATGAACAGGGACAGACTCCAACATCAAACAGTCTGGGTAAAAGTCATTGTTTGGGACCTGAGCCATAGTAAGTCTCTGATCAGACCAAAAATATTCATGTGTACTAATTAAACCTAAACTTTTGTAGACAACAAATTCATCAACAACCTAATTATTTCCAAAACTGAAAAAGATCTCTGGTCATTTAGAAACACGTTCCTGGCCTTTTCCCAAACAATGGTGTCTTTGTGGTTTTCCAGGAATTCAGCTTCTGACTTGAAAAGGTGACATTTCAAGTAACATGATGTGTGGGATCTCTGATTATTCCTAAACTGAGACAGTACCTACCTAAAAAGGCAGCTGGGATGGTCCAGCTCCGTCTTCCTAAGCATCTTCAAAAACTGCTCTGGCCTTTGTCCGGTCAGGTCTCCAGCCACTGCTTCAACCGTGTGCCCCTTTCTGGGAGCCAGAATTGCAGCATCTGATGCATCATATGGCCTTTTACTAACTTATGGATGATCAGCTCTTTCACTACACTGGAGCTACTGTATCACTGTATCATCTCTTAAAAGTTTCACAAAACCACCTGCAAGGTCTTGGTAGGGGGCAGAGAGAGGGGGGAAACAAACCAAACCCCCCCCCCCAAACTGTTCTGAAGTGTTTTTAAAGATCAGTTTCATTTGCAAATGCTCACATATTCGGAAAATGTGTTTGTCAATAAATAGCTATGATTTGCTCTGGAGACACGGGTTAGTAATATAAAATAAGCCTAGAGGGATTTTCAAAGATGATTATGGAAGTTAGAAACATGTTTTCTGTTTGTTCGTGCTAACATGCAACCATCTGCTGACCTGAGTGATACAAAATACCTCCTATATTACTTGGGGCTTTGACATTATTGTTATTAATTCAGACAAACATATCTCAGTCAAATATGTCTTTCCAATCTAAGGATTCTGTACAGAACCTCACACAGCCTCTAGTGCTCTACAGCATAACACGTCCGCTATATTGTTTGGAGTTAACAAGGTCCGTCTGTCAATATGTGCCAATAATTTTTCTACATAATTACACAGGAATCTAGCATCTGAGCTTTTGCAGCTAGCGAGAGGAGCCTTTTGCACCTTTGCTGGCTCCTGTAAAATGTTATGTTGTTAAAGTATGCTAATCGTTCATTAATATATGCTAAGAGAGATGCAGTAAACCAGTTTGTGTTGACTGCATCCCTCTGTGTCTTTCTAAAGTACAATTTGCAAAAAAACTGTAAAAAAAATGTTTTTTTCTACAGTTAGGATTAAATTCAGTTCCAGATTTAGATAACTAAATTTACAGCATAGCTATTTACATCTACACTAGGTATCTAAGCTCCCATTACAGCCAGTTGACGTCTAGTCAATACAACCAACAGAGTCCAGAGAACAACTCGCCTCACCCCAGTCACCTTGGTATTAGTTCACTTGCCTTACCGCAGGTGTCTACCATCACTGGAGATTCCCTGGGACATCCCACCTGGCCTCCAGCTGCCATCCAGAAGCATGCAGGTCTCCCCAGGTATGTCCTATATCATACCTGACAGCCTCCATATGCATGTCAAAGATACCTTTACGGCACCTCAGGTGACATTAGATGGCTCTTTTTAGGCACCTGCATCGAATCCTACATCTCTCCTGAGCGTGATGGGAGATTTGACATCCAAATCAGACAGAGATTCTTATATACAGAGACAAAAACATAGGTGGTTTTGTCCCAGAATGAATCCCACCTCACATGTAGACACACTCTGGATACTTTACTTCATTTGTTAGAATCTGGAGTTAAATTCCAGACTCACGGGCAGAATATGTAGCCAGCAATTATCAAGTCACTTACTGGAGTCTTGTACCTTGGTTTCCCGGATTGTATCTACCAAAGCCACTTCTAAATTACATTTACCAAGATCTTTCGAGATAGGTCCTAAATAACTCTAAGATTATTTACTATATGGGATACCATAATGTCCAGGAAATGTAGACAGGGGTCAAGGTTTTATAGCTGTGGAGATTGTACAAACACAAAAGTCTGTCCCAAAGAGATGATGCTTCCTTCGTTCTTTGCACCAAAGCCAGCTTTGTCAGTCATTACATGTCTGTCTCATACTACTCAGAAGGTGTGCACACAGTTAGATAACCCCTGTGAAATTGTAGCATACTTACAGCTTAACTCCACCCCAGTATGCAAGCTACAAAACCACATGCAGATACGTCCTTAGGCAGATTTTCTTTATTCGTTACATTCGTGTATTTAATTTACTTGTTATATGTAAGTATCTTTAATGACTGATTTTGTTTACTTTAAAATGTTTCTTTGTTACTATTATTTCAATTGTCATAATCCAACCTAGAAAACCCTAGACTATCCTAAAACAGCATACCACATCAGGCCAACAGGAAACCTTATCATCAATGCAAAAGCAATAATATATCAATAAAAATCTTTAAAGGTCTTCCAATAACAAGAATTAAACAACTTTCAAATCAGGTCTAATAAGCAGAACATTTTCATGTTAAGTCAGTAGTGAACATATATCAATGAAAGATACCACTCTGAACACTGCAAAACAGGAAAGGCATCAAAATGCACATACTGAATTGCCTTTCTATTAAAAGGACAAGGACTTAATGCTCCCGTGAATGGAAGTTGCATGCAAATTCTGTAATGCTACCATGACTCGCACGTAACACTATGAGCACGCAAGGGATCGTTCAAATATTCCTCACCACATTTAGCAGAGAGTAGGGCAAAATTCCTTTCTCAATTTAACATCAAAATATTTCTCCAGCCTGGAAGTACTCTGCAACAAAGGATGCGTTTCATTTGGGAAGAACTAAGTGTACTGCAGTAGGGTGTTGACATAGGGGAGGAAACCAGGTTATTTCACCATGGGGAAATAGTGACACTAATCCACTTGAAAATTCTGTTCATGGAACAATTAGTTCTGAAAATTTAGTTTCTGGAACTGTGATTTTCCAGAGTTGCCTCTAGTATGATTTTGTTTGTTTGTTTTTATTCAGAGTAATTCCTGCACCTAACTGCAAAAAGGATGAGATATAATTTCCTTGAGTGTAAATTACTATCACTATTTAGGTCAACCAGAGAGGCTCTGGAGCACGTATCTCCTATGGTTGGTCTGTCCATTCGTGTCCAGGCTGCTAGAGGGGGTGGAACCTCACGGTCTCTGTCTTTCCCTATGCCTAAATAAGTACATCTACATAGGTACACCAGGCTCACTGTGCATGCACAAAATAGTTATATATTAGTCAAGGCACA